CACCCCTGTTTCATGAGTGGGGCAACAGACTGTAAAGGAGAAACATTATAGAGAGTATTGGGATAGGCTCCTGTTAGAGGTGTATCCCAGAAGGGGTTGTGATTTCACAGAAGGCTGTGTAACTGTGCCGGAGGGCTGAGTTGCCAAAAAAGCTTTTGGCTAACAAGTTGAGGCAGTGCAGGAACCCACAATCGGCAATATGGGGGTGCCTACATAAGGTGAGTGACCCCATTTACATGTTCTGGGACCTATATTTCAGAAAAGATGTGGACAAATTGCAGAAAATCCAGAGGAGAGCAAAAATTATTAAAGGCCTAGAAAACATGACCTATGAGGGAAGATTGAAAAAATTGGGTTTGTTTAGTCTGGCAAAGAGAAGACAGAGGGGACACGATGGAGGCAATGATAATAATTTTCATCTACATAAAATGATATTACAAAGAGGAGGGTGAAAATTGTTCTTCTAGGCTTAAATTGCATCCAATAACAAGTGGAGCATCCGTACTACCACACCCATTATTTCAAAATAATTGTTATTTCGAAATAACAACTTATATTTTCCATGAGGAATGATGATTATTTTGATAAAGCATGAGTATGGATGCTCAATTGCTACTATTTCAAAATAATTGGCCTTCTGAGGCCTCTCACAGCTGCACTTGTGGCCATTCTGGCCACACCTGATATCTCCAATCCCCCCCTTCTCCTGCAGCAGCAGGTTGAAGTAAAAGAGCTTGTGGCACATATGGACCATTCACAGCCCCATGCCACACAGCACCAATCCCAGGAGCCATGTCAGACCCCAGCTCTGCCTCTGAGCTCCCCATAGCTGCCAGCACTCCCACAGCACCCTCGGCTGCCCCAGTCCAGGGACAAAAGAGGGCACTGGTCTGAACTGGTACAGAGATCCTGTACCTCATCAAGGTCTGGGGCGAAGAGACCACCTCCAGGATCTCTGCACCAGGAAGAGGAATGCCAATGTCTTCATCTGGATGGCTGCTAGCCATGGCCAAAAAAGGACTCGTGTGGACTCTCAGCCAAGTAATAAAGGTGCTCCAACAGGCCTACAGCAAGGCCAGGGAGAAGAACAAATGCTCTGGGGTGTCTCCTTACACCTGCCACTATTGTAGGCAGCTTGATGCCAGCCTGGCAGTGGGGCCAGTCACCTCTCCACATCATCGTCATTGAGTCTGGCCAAGACTGAGCTATTTTGATGCTCTCCCACAGCGTGGACTTGCTATTTTGGTTTTGTTATTCCAGGAGTTATTATTTAGATTCTACTTATTTTGAAATTATTTCTGAGTGTAGACATGCCCTTCAAGTCCTAAACTTCTATGATTCTCTAAAGGATTTAGTTGGCTCCTCAGCATGAGGACAAGTTTTCAGTGCAAGAGCAAGCACTTGCTTCACAATTTGTGGAAGAGGAATTATGCTTGAAGGAGAAGGATGAGAGCTCAGCAGAGGAAACCATCTGAGTAACCTATATGAGTAATGACTGCAAGACTACTGGCGCATCACCCCCATCAACCTGAGTTCCCCACATGATAAGCACGTGGATGCAGTCCAGAAATAGTTTGGAAAACTCCATCACCGTGTGACGCATGCAGTTGGGCTCCATGTGTGCCTGGGGCAACTCAGCTGCAGGCAGACCCCCATGTTGACTCCCTCTCCTCTGGAGACTTCCTCTCCACTTCCTAAGTGCCGAGTATACAACATCATCTCAAAAAAAATATTGATATTGGAAAAGGTTCAGAAAAGGGCAACACAAATGATTAGGGGTTTGTAACGGGTCCCCATATGAAGAGAGATTAAAAAGACTTGGACTTTTCAGATTAGAAAAAAAGAGACTAAGGGGGGATATGATAGAGGTTTGTAAAATCATGATTGATTTGGAAAAAGTTAATAGTGGAAAGTTATTTACTTATTTCCACAATATAAAAACTAGGGGTCACCAAATGAAATTAATAGGCAGCAGGTTTAAAAAAAAAGCAAAAGGAAGTTTTTCTTCACTCAGCACAGTCAACCTGTGGAACTCCTTGCCAGAGGTTGTGGGGAAGGCTAGAACTTTAACAGGGTTCAAAAAAGAGCTAGATAGATTCATGGAGGTTAGGTCCATCAATGGCAATTAGCCAGAATGGATAGGAATAGTATCCCTAGCCTCTGTTTCTCTGGAGGTGGGTGACAGGGGAGGAATCACGAGGATTGCTTATTGTGATCCCTCCCTTTGGGGCATCTGGTATTGGCCACTGTCAACAGACAGGATGCTGGGTTAGATGGACATTTGGTCTGACCCAGTATGGCCATTCTTATGTTCTTAACAAATGGAGAAAGAAGGGCATAAAGAACGGGGAGCCAGGGAACATGCAACAGTAGAGAGTTTCTGTCTTGTACATTGTTTCATTGAACGCCGATTGCACTTCCTCATGCACTTTGTTTTGTAAAAGGCTCCATTGTTCCTAGTATCTCTTGTGGTAATGGCAGCTTGCCTGCTTGTCAGTGGGTGAATGCTGGACTTTTCTAACACATGCTGTATTCCTGATATATTTGTCATCAAGGAAGCTTTATTGCTTTCTCTGAATAACATCTTACAATAAGTATTTGAAATGTAAAATGTAAACAGTTGATCAGGGACAATTAGTTTGAAAACACTCCTGCTCAGACTAGTTATATACATCAGCCCAGACTTCAGTCTTTTCCTTATATGACTCCATACTGTGAATCACCCACCCCCCACTTTATTTTGAAAGTAGTTATGTCATTCACAGAACTTGAATATCTTACAAGCTCCCATGTCTTCTCAAGCACTCTTACCCCAAAAAATCAATGAGCTACATTTAAAGAAGTATAATCATAAAGGCACTATTCCCCCTCTTCCATAACCCCATAAAATTCCTCAAAGCATCCCTGACATCTGTGGCCTGGATGCATCCAGCTCCAGCTGGATGTAGTATGTGCATTTTCTGGCACAGTTTACTGATTTAGCAGCCTCTCACTGTCATAGATCCATTCAGAGGGAAATAGCTCACCTCTGGCTTCACAAAGATTGTCAAGAGCTCAGCAAGGTTCAGTAATGCAGACAGCATTAATGACACTGTCATCCAGATGTGTCTGTAAACATCTCCGGTGGGATTTCAATCTGCCAAAAGCACATTCAGCAATCATTTTCCACCTGCAGAGAGTGTAATTAAACAATCTTTTACCAAGGTCTCTTAAACCAGGCTACAGTTTCATATACTGAGGCAAAAGAGGGTGCGAGGTGTCCTTCAGAATAGTGGAGGGGACAGTAAGCCTCTTTACGACAATGTCATTAGTGGGAATAGTGTCCCAACCTGTTCATGGATGTACACTTCTGAACGTTGGAAAATAATACAGTCATGAACTTTCCCAGTGCACTCCATGTTATTATTCATAAACTGGTCAATGTGCAATGAGGGCCTACCTAAAATTGGAGTGATATCCTTTGTGGTTTTTCCTCCTTGGGTTACTCGGGAGCAGGTCACACTCACAGGTGTGTCTGGGCGCCTGATGGTTTTAACCGAAAAGGAGATCCTGAGCACCCCAGTGGTGATGGTGTTTAGTTGGGGAAAGCCCTATCCACCCCCTTGCTGCAGTCCCTTGCTCATAATTAATATATAATGGCGGTGCCTCTACCTGGCTGGCCTTGTACACACTCACTGGCGTGCCTTGAGAGCCTCCAGGAACATACTCATTCCAACTATAATCTGGATCTAACTCCAGAACAACAACTATAAATCATATACATCTAATAGACTACATTAAAATAAACAATCTTTACTTAACTTAAATAATCAGGGTTTAACAGATTAACATTGAATAGCATTAACAAAGTACACAACAATAATTGGGACTTATTAAAGCACACATTGGGACTAACATTTGTACTGAAAATATTGATCCCACCCCAGAGTGTGCACACCCCTCGACTCACAGTCCCAGATTCTTGCTTGCATGGGCGCGCTTGAAGAACTGCAGCTGTAGTGGAGATTCGGTCCAAGCTAGACAGCAGCTCTGTCCCAGGCAGCACATTCCCAACAAGGCCCAAAACTTACTGCCTCATGCTGTGCCTAGCGGAAGCAGCCTGCTAACTCCCAGTTCCAACAGGCATCTAGTCCTGGTCTGTAGCTGCACTCTAGCAGCCCCTGGACTGGATCAATCTCCTTGGCAGCAGCCTGGCTCCCCCTTCAGTTCCAAACTCCAAGGCAGAGTCCCAGACTGCTAGGCCTCTTTTCTTCATGCACATGGAGAGAGCAGTCATCTCTCCCCAAGAGTCCTTCCTTCCTGTTTTTCCCAAGTGCTCATGGGAATTGTAGTCTGGATTGCAGCACACAGGGTCTTTCCAGGAAAAAAACAGAGGCCTCTTTAGTAAGGGGACTACATTCTCCCCCCACCAGAAAAATCCTTAATGTCCCCATTAAGGAACCAGTATCAAGAAGAAAAACAATTACAATACAATAGGTACACTATTTCCTACTGTTGGTTGTGGTAACAGCCAATGGAGGGTAAAGTATAGGCCCATTAGAATAGGTACAATTTAGGCATCTAGCATGAAGTGAGCACCACCATGCCGAACACCTGAGTTCATGCTTAGAGGATACATCATCTGGGCCAGAAGACGACTCCTGGCTCTATTTCTGGCTGTGCTGCTGTCTGATATCAGTGTGTGACTTGGGCAAATCATTCAACCTGCCCTTGAATGAGATTTCCAAGCTATCGATCAGTATTCTGGGTAAATCAAGTCAAGTCACTGGAGATGTCTTTTCTTAGAATAATTTTAATTATACAATTTGACTAATCCTTCAATCATGTCTGTTAATATAACATCCAAGTACAACCAGGGGAAACTCAGGAGTAGGAGTAGTAATGATTTTTTCAACTATATTTGGCATTGGTGTGGCTGCTAATGGAACATAGTGTCCACTTTTTAGGTGCACAATTCAAGAAAAATGTTGATTAATTGGAGAGTTTCAGGCTATGTCTAGACTGCAGGCTTCTTTTGAAAGAGGCTCTTTCGAAAGCATCTTTCGAAAGAGCCTCTTTCGAAAGATCGCGTCTAGACTGCAGGCAGATCTTTCGAAAGAGAAATCCGCTTTTTCGAAAGAGAGCACCCAGCGAGTCTGGATGCTCTCTTTCGAAGACGGCCTCTTTACATTGAAGAACGCCTTCTTTCGAAAGAGGAACTTTCAAAAGAAGGCATTCTTCCTCGTGAAATGAGGTTTACCACCATCGAAAGAAAAGCCGCGTTCTTTCAAAATAATTTCGAAAGAACGCGGCTTGAGTCTGGACGCAGGGGAAGTTTTTTCGGGAAAAGGCTACTTTTCCCGAAAAAAACCCTGAGTCTGGACACGGCCTCAGGGAACAACTATGAGAATGATGAAAGGTTTAAAAGCATGCCTCATGGGCTCAATCTATTTTATTTAATGAAAAGGAGGTTAACAGGTGACTTATTGCAGTCTATTGCATCGATGGAGCCATGTAGTTTAGACGTACCCTATAAGTATCCATATGGGGAGCAACTTTTAATAATGGACCCTTCTACCTACCAGAGAAAGTTATAACATGATCCAATAGGGGAAGCTGAAGCTAGGCAAATTCAGAAAAGAAAAATAGCCTAAGTATTTTAATGTGAGACTAATTAACCACTGGAAAAACTTGTTGGGTTAGTCGTATTGGATTCTCTATTTTAAACATTGAAATTGGAAGTTTTACTAAAAGATGTGTTTCAGGAATTATTCTAGAGAAGTTCTATGGTGTTTTTTAGAGCACTTGACCCTAGATGATCACAATGGCATTGGAATCCATTAATCTATTAATTTTAAATTTCCATATTTTAAATGGATATTAGTTTGCTTCTCATAAATATGGCTCACAACATTTATTAAATTTGAATTGTACCAAATTGCAAAAGTTTTCGGAGCAAGAAAATTATTTCATCACAGTAGCAGCATCAAATACCAACTCTGTGGTTTTTCAAACATATTGTTGTTTTAACTTTCCATGGAAAAAAGAAAACATTATTATTCATTATTATGAAGACAAAGAAGCATTAGTGGATAAACAATATAGGAGTCTGAAGTCTCATTTCAGAAGTAATTCAGGCACTTAGTTTTGCATTTAACATGCATCTGTATATAAACAAATGAGGAGAAGAGAAGTACATTTTTTTCTGTAAAATGGAGAACAGTTGATACAAAAGGTTTTTTTTTTTAATTTTTCTTCAGCTGCCCTTGTGTTGAAAACATACAGATATGAAATCAACAGACGAACAGACACATGTATAAGAAAAGAATGAAGTTTAATTAATTCTGAGCTACTTTGAAGATGATAGATAGATAGATAGATAGATAGATAGATAGATAGATAGATAGATAGATAGATCGATCGATCTAAAGGAACGTTCTTAAGAAACACTTAAAGAAGGCTATACCTCAGACCAATTACGGAGGTAGGCTGATTTATAATGATAATCTTGCCCTCTGTATTTACACACTTGCCTAAAAATGTACATGAAGGAAAAGTTTATAATTCTCTTTTCTATTGGCAATTTCTCTATTTTTTGCCAGAGATGGTGACAATCCTAATGTTGTTATTAAGAAAGGTAGGTTTTGGATAATTGCGATAATCACTTATTTATAGGACTTAGAGCAACATTATTTTTGTAACCAGACAAATGGTTACAACTAAAGAGGCAACAGGAACAAATCTACAAACAGTTTGGAGATTCATACAGAGGAAGTTATGAAGTAATAACATCCCATATTTTGACAAGAAAAATGCTTAAATTGTACACCTATCACATCTATCACAGCTACCATCAAGTTTTGCAAAAAAGTAATTCTATCAAAATGATAATTATTAGGAAATAGACGTTAAACCTTGGATCTATGTCTAGACTGAAGGCTTATTTTGGAAGAAGCTTTTCTAGAAAAACTTCTTCCAAAAGAGAGTGACCACACTGCAAAAGTGCATCGAAAAAGCGATCTGCATTTTCAGAAGATAGCATACACAATGAATGGACACTATCTTGCATTTAAGCTGTGATTGCTATGGAGTTCGGAAAAAGTCTTCTTCCTCATAGAATGAGGATTGCCATTGTCGGAAAAAACCCTCTGTTCTTTAGATTTTCTTTCAAAAGAAAATGATTTCAGTGTGGACATAACTATTATCAGCCTCTTGTAACTATTTAGTCTTTAAGATGCTACTAGACCATTTGTTGTTTTTTTAAGTCTGTCCTGTTAATTTAAGTTAAGGAAAAACAGCTGTTTTTCCGAAAAAAACCTCTGTAGTGTAGATATACCCTGAGTTAAGCAGAAATAGATTTAAGAACATGAAATTTCTCACAGCTATTACTGTAAAAAATCATTATTGACAGTATCTTGTGGAAAACAACATATTTTGGCTTAACTCTCATACTAACAAACCACAAAAATTGAGTGTATGTGAACATAGTTTGTATTGTGGGTTCTTAGGAAATATTGATTATAAAGGTAACTATATTTGATTGGGAAAACTTAAAAAACAACAAATAGTCTAGATGCACCCTAAAGACTAACAACACATGTAGATGGTATCATGAGCTTTCGTGGGCACAACCCACTTCTTCAGATAACCAGAGTGTTGGAAGTCCAGAACCAAGAATATATAAGGGAAGGAGGGAGAAGGAAAAAAAATGGAGGGGAGGAAGAAAAAAAGAGATGGTGAGTAGATAAGTTTCAGGGGGATAGCCGAGTTAGTCTGTAACAGGACAGACTTTGTTGGTTTTTAAAAAGTCTAGTAGCACCTTAAAGACTAAATAGTTACCAGAGGCTGATAAGAACCATTAGTTTGCACATTCTAGGCTCTGGGTTAAACTGTTATGATACTTTGTTATACTGTGTAACCCCCTTTTTCCTCCCGGGGTTACTCTGGAGCAGGTCACACTCACAGGTGTGCCTGGGCACCTGATGGTTTTAACCCACAAGGAGATCCTGCGCATCCCAGTGGTGATGGTGTTTAATTTCGGGGAAAAAACCCTTTTCACTCCCTTGCTGCAGTCCCTTGCTCGTAATGAATGCACAAATGGCGGTGTCTCCACCTGGCTGGCCCTGCACACACTGACTGCTGTGCCTTGAGAGCCTCCAGGAACATACTCATTCCAACTATAACCTGGATCTAATTCCAGAACAACTACAAATCATATACATCTAATGGAACTCTTTAAAATAAACAATCTTTTTTTAACTTAAATAAACAGGGGTTAACAGATTAGCAATGAACAGCATTAACAAAACGCACAGTAATAATTTAATCTTATATAGCTAACATTTGTACTGAAAATATTGATCCCACCCCAGAATGTGCACACCCCTCGACTCACAGTCCCAGACTCTTGCTTGCGTTAGCGCGCTGATGTTGCAGCTGTAGCGGAGATTTGGTCCAAGCTAGTCAGCAGTTCTGTCCCAGGCAGCTTTTTCAACAAGGCCCCAAAACTTACTGCCTCATGCTGTGCCTATCGGAAGCAGCCTGCGAAATCCCAGTTCCAACAGGCATCTAGTCCTGGTCTGTAGCTGCATCCAACAGCCCCTGGACTGGAACAAACACCTCCACATCAGCCTGGCTCCCCCTTCAGTTTCAAACTCTAAAGCAGAGTCCCAGGCTGCTAGGCCTCTTTCTTCATGCACACAAGAGAGCCTCTCTCCCACACAAGAGTCACTTCCTTCCTGGTTTTCCTAAGAGCTCATGGGAATTGTAGTCTGGATTGCAGCACACAGGGTCTTTCCAGAAAACAGAGGCCCCTTTAGTAAGGAGACTACACAAACTATGAGCATACGTGTCCTATCAATAGCTCCAGAAGAATTTGGAAGCCCCATTCTCACTAAATCAGCAATTACTTCAGAAATATTTTATGCTTGCCAGCTTGAGGTAAATCACATGCTTTATTTCCTCACACCTCTGCCACCTTTTTCCCACAGTTAACTTCCCAAAGTAAAACTGGATATCAGCGCACCTGTAGCAGTCAGGGATAGTCAGCTTCCAGATG